AAGAAAGGAAAAGAGAGACGGCCAGGCCCAAGCCAGTTTTGTTCAGTGAAGCTGCTGCGCCTCGTGGTTTGTTATATAGCGGCGCTGCCTTTGAGTACGTAAGTATACTTGGTGTATGTCTGCTTCAGTACGGCATTCTACATCTGTATCCGACTGTCTGTGTATGTATGTAGGCGCATGTCTTGACCGGTTTGGGGTTGCTGATGCTCATTCTCGTGGCTGGGTTTGCTAGGCATCGGCATCCAGGATTCTTGTCCTGTCCTGTACCGCCGTCGGGTCCGCTCCTCCCCCCTCACTCACGCGAGCTGCCGAGGGTCTTGCAGGCCTTGCTGTTGTTTCCTCTGGTGCCCGGGTTCTCTGCATTTCTGATGGGGGATCCTCTGGCACAGCAGAATGGAGCCTCCCCCGGGATCGGTAGCTGGTGCTGAAGGAGGTTTAGTAAGAGGGATTTATGTGTCCGGGGCATGTGCTTCGTACCGCCGCTGCTGGTGCTGGTGCTGGTGCTCGTGGGACGTGGAGACCGACCCTCTCCCCATCAGTCAAGTTCAAACCAACGGGCGCGACGATGAAGAGAGAACTGGGATGAGCCATGGTTGAGAAGCTGGAGGCCGCCTACGGGGACTGGGTCTACCGGCCTTGAACTTTTTTTTCTCTCGCAGGACGCACTATCTTGCAGTGAAGACCTGTTTGGGAGGGGGCGCGCGTGATGGGATCGACACTACCTTGGTCCAGCGGGGGGGTTTTTTTCTTCTTTTTTTTCTCACACTCACACTCTTACACCGGGGCAGAGAGAGAGAGTCCAGTCACTGTGGGGGTTTCCTAGTCTGACTCTTGAGGGAAATGCCGTTCACCGTGGTTAACGTCAAACGAAGCCAAATTAACAGCGCAAAAAAATCTATCCAAATTAAGCGCGGCCGAGGAGGGAGCAGCACGAGTACTCTATGCTCCGTACACCGTACACAGTACATAGCCGGATTTCTTTCCCCTTCGTTCCAGGGTTTCGGCGCCGACCTGTACACACACCTGGGCAGTAGAGTGAGAGGGCAACGGGGCAAAGCCTGGCTTTGGCTTGTCAGGATTTTTTTTTTTTTTCGTCTGCCCAGTGCAGTTATTACAGTGATGAACGGGCACAGCCCCAGGCCCTAGAGTCGGCACTCGCTGGCGCATACGCAGGACGGAGTAGGGCGCGGCGGTGATTTGTATTGATTGGAGACTTTTTTTGGTGGTCGATCGCCGGGCAGAGACCAGATTTGGGTGTATCTTGAGCGGCCGTTTTGGATCTCTCTCGTTCTCGTTTTTTTCCCTTTGAATGACTGAGGTGCAAAGGCAGCGAGCATCGCCTTACGGTAGTTTGAACAATGAAGGCTAGGAAATCGCAGGCGAGTGGCGGTGTAAGTACGTATAGACTGATTTTTGCCATCTGGACATGGCAATTCAGTACGCAGTTCGTCCCTGTTTCGCTCTTCAATTCGCGGCCCGAGGCTTGCTTCTGGTAGAAAGAACAAGAATAGAAGCAAGCAGTGAACAAAACAATAAAGGAGACGGCACATGGAAATTGTAGGTAGACGGCAAGCCAGGCCGACTTAAACAAGCGGCAGACCAACAGATTGCCGAAGAAGCGGGATGGGCTTGTTTGGCGATGCGGCATCACCGCTTCTTTACTGTGGTAGAGCGCAACACCACGCATCGACGGATCATGGGAAAGATGGGCTGGAGGGAGCAGCAACGGCAACGGTGATGTGTGGCGGCGGCCGCCGCGGCCTCTAGGAGATGGCTGTCGCCTTGGACACCTCACTGAGTTAGGTTGGCTCTACTTCTCCAAATAACTTCCCCAAAAGTCGGTACATGCCGACTTCAGAGTTCCTGAGCTGTAAGATTGATGACCGGCATGGGCGCCGGCGAAAGGGCCGGGCTAGTTTTGGAGTGTGGTTCCGGGGCTGTGGAGTCGCACAACGATGAGTTCGTGAAGAGCAAATTAGTATCCGTAATCCCTCACGTATCCTATGGTGAGAGAAAAAGACGCACAACAAAGATGACGAGAGAAAAACAAAGGATACGATAGCTAGCTCAAGCTGGACTGGAGCTGGCTCCTGAATACTCTCCGATTGGCAAATGACGCGGCGCGGGATGTGAACCTGAGCAGACCAAATTTGGGGGTGAGGACTGGGTTCGGCATGCGTCTCGTCTTAGCTCCCCCAGCTCCTTGTGTAACGACAGCTCTCTGTCGCATTGGAATGTTGCGATCATGGATGGCACTTTGAAAGCAGCGGACCTGGGCGCATCTGCAAGTTCAGAGACGAAAGAAGGATGCAGCAGGCCAGCAGCTCTCTGGATGTGGGCCTCCCGGACGCGGGCACCGCTAACTGCTTGCAGCAAACCGAGACATGGACTGCTTTTCTCCACACCTCACAACTCACATTGCAGCGGCGGTCAGCTCCTGTGCTGTGCCTGTTCGGCCAGTCCCCCGTGGTGGGTGGTGTTGCTGGTGATGGGAATGGGGATGGTGTTGTTGGAGAAACGGTGAAAGAAGAAGAAGCATGTTGAGTACTTGCACCAGAAGGGGACTGATGGATTGTGGCAGTGCCAGCGCCAGCAAGCTCTCGAGTCTCCCCTCCTCTATCTCATTCTCCTCCCTACTCGCCTATCCACTACTTCGCAGCGGCATTGCAGCAGTCTCTTGTAAGTCCCCCATGCTAAAATCTGTAAGCCAGCGGCGGCAGTCAGACAATCATCAGGAGTGGAAATTTGTAGCGGGACCATTGTTGATTCTCTGCCTTCAGTTTATCAGAGCCTTTGAGCTACACAGCAAGCTAGCCGAGAGGATCTCGAATGGACGGATGGATCGATGGGTCGGCCAGTGGGATGAGTGCAAAAGCTAGATGCAGGGCTGTAGAGGAGGGGGGAGGACGGTAACGGGTTCTGCGGGCAAGGGAAGAGAGGGGCGTGAACATGGACTCAAAGGGGGGGGGGGGGGTAGAGGCACGTTTGGAGGGTAAGGGGACCTTTTCTGTGTGTCTCAGTGAATCTCGCCGTGGACTACTCATAGCTCTGGAACTCGGGAGAGATGATGGAGGCCGAGGGAGGACAAGAGACAAGAACAGAAACAAGAACGAGATCAGAGGACGGATCATGGACCAGGACGCACATGGGCGCGGGAGCCCTCTTCCTCCTCTTCCTCCTCCTCCTCCTCCTCCTCCTCCTCCACACATCCTCTCCACAGTCTGCACCAAAGCCAAGCCGAGTAATAAGTGGTCAGCATCGCCAACCTGGTCAACCATCTCTGGCCACTGGTCAGTGGTAGGTATCCATAGTCGTAGTGTAACTGTCTATAGTACGGACCCAGGAAGGGCTAGGTAAATAAACCAAAGGGCCAAGGGATCAAGGGCAAGGTAGAGGACGGGTATCGAGCGTAGTGCCGCGAGCACGGGGCAGGATGCGCCAAAACCTTGATTGGTTGTCACTGGCAAAGTCCTTTGAGAGCCTCTCGCGCGCCAAGAGATACTTGGATATCCAACTCTCAAGACTTCACCAACGTGTAATTTCGCATCAACGCCTCCAACCCTTTCTATGAGCGATTTATCACCCTCAATACATTGCACCCTTTTCCTCCTTCATTAACCTTTTCAACCAGGCCCGTTGTTTACCTGCCATAGCCGCTCTCTTTCAGTTCTGCTGCTCCCATTTTAATTTTTATTTTATTTTTCCTTTTCCCGTTCTAAACGCCCTCCCCCCCTAGCCAGATAACCAACCACCCCCCGTCCACCCCATCATCGTCTCCTCCAAAGCCCCAACCGAGCCTCCTCCTGACGGTGCTCTCTCTCCCCCTTGGTCCTTGGTGCGGCCGCACGCAACGTTGTTTCTGTGACACGCCTCTCGCTCTTGATTTGGACACCTCTCTTCCTGCTTGCTGGCCCTGCTCATTTCAAAACAGCCCGGCCTGGCTTAGCCGCGCCGGAGCCCAAAAAAGTCTTGCGCATGAGGCATGAGATTCACGTCTCTCTGTCAGACTTGTCAGCCACAGTACGCTCGGCACGTTGGATTATCAGTGCCATTTCACCACCTGCTGGCGCCGTAGATACAACCCGCCGTCCAACCTCCATCCTTCTTCGCACGTCGCGTGTCGGCTCTGCTCGTCGAGTCGTTCGTCTAGTAAGGGTAGTTGCTGATGTTGCCTTTAACGGTCAGGTCTTGGCCTTGGAGCCTTGTTCCTGTTTGTCATTGCTCACCACATTCGTGCTCGTCTCGTCGCCCATGCCTTGTCTTGTCTTGTCTCTTGTATCGTCTGGCCTGTCTGAACTGGGGAACGCGACTTGTGAACTTGCACCCCCATTCCCTTCTCTTGACTATACGCCCTGCCCATCCCATCCAACCGACTCCTCGGGAATCAGAAAAAAAGCCGCTCGCTTGGTGTTGCCCGTCTCCCCTCCCCCCTCTCCCATCCTGCGACCAAAACAGGCTCTTATTGTGTTCCTCTTACTTGTCACCATCCCGAGTCGATCCAAGTCAAGCAAAGCGTCGAGTCCCAGCCCATGCCATGTGATGGAATAAATGCGGATGCCGCAATCTCCGCAATGGCGGTGCGGCGTGTACGGTACCGTACCTTTTGGGAGAGGCTGATTGTCTCTCGTAAACATTTGCATACACAAATGCCAAGAGCTCATGATAGACATGAGGGTTAAGACGGATACCCTCTTCTGGACTTCCCGTCCTGTCTCTCGTCTCGTGGCCCTGCCTTGTCCATTTCGTATATAAGACCCTGAATGTTTTGCAGGACGTTGCAGTGCAGATCTGCTCACAGACTCGCTCACTTCTCACTTCCCTCCCTTCTCTCTCTCTCTCCTCTCTGTGTGAGGCCTCCCTCCTGTTATTGTCGTCGTTGTTACTCTGAGCTGTCCTGACAACCCGGAAAACCCTATTCTACCCTACGTTATCCTTTGCTTGAGATCACGTTGCACCAGAACTTGCCAACTCAGAAAAAAAAAAAAAACCGGATAGACAAAATGGACGACGAATCTGAGCTTAAACACCAAAAGGAGGCGGCCGGTGACCGTATTCGCTGGGACGCCGACGAGGAGGCCGGCAGGAAGGCTCACCGCTCTAACGCTGGCCCGGCTCTTCATCATGCCAGGTCGAACACGTCAATGTCTATACACTCGGTCCGGTCAAGACGCAACTCCTTCGACGCTGCCGCTGAGCTTCCTATCCAGTACCGCACGGTGTAAGTGTGGAATAACATGCGACAAAACAATGACAAGAAATGCCTGATCAACATCTTTCTCTCGGCTAACAACCCTCTTCGAAAAGTTCCTTTGAGATTGAAGAGTACAAGACAAAAAGCGAAGCCGTCAAGAAGGCCAAAAATGTCGCAACAGGTTCGTGAAGCCATAGAAACAAACCCCGTTCTCATCTATTGTGTTTCGACAACAAAGTGAATCGTAGCGACTAATACCATCTGCATCTCTGCAGAACTTTCGGAACTCGAATGGCACACCCTCTCCGTCGACGAGCTTCTCAGACGCCAGTCGACTTCCCTCGCAGACGGCCTATCCGCAGACCAGGTCCAGCGGCGCACAGCACACTATGGCAAGAACGCGCCCTCGCCCGCCCCGACAAACCACACAAAACGCATCCTCGGATACTTCTTCAAGGGCTTCGGTACCGTCCTCCTCGTGGCTTCCATCCTCGTCTTCATCGCGTGGAAGCCCCTGGGAAGCCCGCCCGCCGTGGCTAACTTGGCGCTGGCCATCGTGCTGCTTGCTGTCTTCTTCATTCAGGCTGCCTTTAACATGTGGCAGGACTGGTCCTCTTCGCGGGTGATGAACTCCATCAAGACTATGTTACCCGAGAACTGCATGGTTATTCGTGATGGCAACCAGGTTGAGCTCATGGCTGAAAACATCGTCCCTGGTGACATTCTGATTGTCAAGTCGGGCAACAAACTGCCTGCCGATGTGCGTTTTCTCAAGGTTTCTTCTGATGCAAAGTTCGATAGGGCTATCTTAACTGGTTAGTTGCCTTCTCGTGGTGTTTGGCGTCCAATCAGGACTCAAAATTTCCCCTTCCATTTTCATGTTAGGAATAGTCACTAACAAAGTACAAAACAACAGGAGAGTCTGTTCCTTTGCCCGCTTCTGTTGACTCGACCGATAACAACTACCTCGAAACTCGATGCATCGGTCTTCAGGGCACACATTGTGTCTCGGGCACTTGCACTGGTGTTGTCGTGGCCACTGGTGACAACACTATTTTCGGACGCATCGCCAAGCTGACCAACGAGCCCAAAAAGGGGTTGACGACGCTGGAACGCGAGGTTTTGCACTTTGTGCTGATCATCTGCTCCATCATGTTCCTCATGATTGTGCTTGTCTTAATTGTTTGGTACGCCATCAGGCCAGATACTACATGTTTCAATCAAAGGTCAAACGCTAACCACTAATTTCTATCGACAGGGGTGCATGGCTTAGAAAACAGTATCCTAACTGGATCAACGTTCCCAACTTGATTATCTCCTGCGTCTCCGTCGCTGTGGCCTTCATTCCTGAGGGTTTGCCTGTTGCTTTGACGGCAAGTATGACCATCAGCGCAAACATGATGCGGAAGAACAAGATTCTGTGCAAGTCGCTCAAGACGGTTGAAACACTTGGATCTGTGTCGATTATTTGTTCTGACAAGACGGGCACACTGACCCAGGCAAGCTATAATATTACTCATACCCAGTTCAGTATAGTATAGACACTAACCAATCACCTTGCAGAACAAGATGATTGTGACCGAGTGTGCCATCGGCACCATGAAGATGACGGCCGACGGTGCCCGGGACAAGATCGCAGTCGACAGACACAACCACCCCAATAACAACTCCTTGGAGCAGCTTCGTGCGCTCGCCGGTCTCTGCAACGCCGGCCAGTTCGATGCCGCGACCGTTCGCTTGCCGCTCCACGAGCGTGTCATTCACGGTGATGCTACAGACCAAGCCATTTTGCGCTTCTCCGAGAGCCTGGGGCAGACCGCTGAGCTGCGCCGTTGCTGGCAGACAAAGTACGAGCTTGCCTTCAACAGCAAGAACAAGTACATGATTCGGGTCCTGGGCATGTCACACCCTGACGGGCTGTCGCTTGCTTTGCCTTCCGATACTGCTTCGGTTTTCCAGCCGGGCGATGTGTAAGCCTCCATCTCGAACACTGTCTCAAGAAGAGGGAACAATGTCTAATCCAAAAACTAGTCTGTTGACTATCAAGGGTGCTCCTGATGTGCTCATGCCAAGACTGAGTAACTACGTCAACCCTGCCGGATACACCACCTCCTTGGACCCTTCAACCCGTGCATCGATCGAGCAGATCAAGGATGAGTGGTCAGCTCAGGGGCGCCGTGTGCTGTTGCTCGCTCGCAAGGCTATCTCAAGATCTGCCCTCAAGGGCCACCCGTCTGACAGCGCTTACGAGATGGAGATTAACAACCAGGCGAAATCCGGTCTTACGCTCGTCGGTCTCGTGGGAATTGTCGATCCTCCTCGTCCCGAGATCCCCGAGGTTATGAACACCCTTCGTGGCGCAGGCATCCGCATCTTCATGGTAAGCTGCTCCCGATGATCTATTTGCACTTGTAGGTTTCGCAGAAAACTGACAGTATGTAAGGTTACCGGTGACTTTGCTCTCACTGCCCAGGCCATCGCAGCCGAATGCAACATCATCAGTGTTCCGCGCTCGCAGGTCGACGATATCTCGGCTCTCCAACGCATCAACCACGTCGACCCCTCGATCAAACATATCGTGGACGACCTCGAATCCTCACCGCGCCAAGCCCTCGTCCTCTCCGGCCCCGAATTGATGACTCTCAACGAAGAGCAGTGGGACCAGCTGGCTCAATACCAGGAAATCGTCTTCGCTCGCACGACGCCGGAGCAGAAACTCCGTATCGTCCGTGAACTCCAGGCCCGTCACGAGATCGTAGGTATGACCGGTGATGGCGTCAACGACGCACCCTCTCTTCGCGCCGCTGATGTCGGTATCGCTCTTGGTTCCGGAAGCGACATCGCCATTGAGGCCGCCGACATGGTTCTCCTCGACTCCTTCTCCAGCGTCGTCGAGGCCCTGCGGTATGGACGCATGATGTTTGACAACCTCAAAAAGACCGTTGCCTACCTCCTCCCGGCTGGCAGTTTCTCCGAGTTCTGGCCAGTCATGACCAACGTCCTCTTTGGCATTCCCCAGATCCTCAGCAGTTTCCTCATGATCATTATCTGTCTCTTCACCGACGCCGCTGCCGCTATCGCCATGGCCTACGAGGCGCCCGAGGCCGACGTGCTTCTTCGCAAGCCTCGTGTGCCCGGAAAGGACCGCCTCGTTGACTGGCAGCTCGTCGTGCAGTCTTACGGCCTGGTGGGTGTCTTGGAGACATTGTCTTCGTTTGCCATGTCCTACTGGTACCTGGAGCGCAACGGTATCAAGTTCAGCGACATTTGGTTCTCCTTTGGAAACTTGCCCTCCACGATCGATCCGGACTACTACCAGCAGAAGCTCAACGTTGCAAGCTCAATCTACTTTGTCAACCTTGTCGTCATGCAGTGGTTCAACCTCCTGGCCATCCGCACCCGTCGGTTGTCGCTGTTCCAGCACCCGCCCATCGGCAACAAGCGCACGCAGAATTTGTATCTCTTCCCCGCCATTATCTTTGCGCTCCTGATGGCCATCTTCTGGCTGTACGTTCCCGAGTTCCAGACGACGCTCGCCACGGCCCCTGTCCCTGTCGAGTACTGGTTCCTGCCGATGACCTTTGGCCTGGGTATTCTTCTCATCGATGAGGCGAGAAAGTTTGCTGTGCGGAAGTGGCCCACGGGCATCATTGCAAAGTGCGCATGGTAGATGTAGATATCGGCGTTGGATTCGGGGGCATGGGTCGGGGATCGTCTACTGCAAAGGAAATACCCCTGGGCGGAAAAGGTCTTTCTAGTGGGAGTAAAGGGAAGGCATACTGATGTAATTTTTCTCTCATACAGCAAGCGAGCCAGCGTTGACTCTGCAAGCGAGTTTTATATTTTTTTGTGTTGAATTAATATGACGTTTTGCGCTTGCCTAAGATCTCGTCGCTCAATAACCAATGTTGAGAACAGTCTTCGCACGTACTTCAATACCCCTTGCCTCGAGGTGTGAGGAGTCTGGACATTATGTCAAATGATGTTGACAGCCGTTATCATGGCGCTGCCTGAGATGCAGTAGTCGTCTCTAGCTCCACACGTTCTAGTCGTTCACACGACGATGTTGTATTATTCATATTTGGCTTCTGGCCAATCCTTCTACAGACCGTTATCAAGACCACATTCTAAGTCTTGCCGTCCACGCATACGCATAGTGAGCATCTTGTCATACCTCATCCATCTGTTGAGGATCTCAGTTTCTATACTTCATCAGCGTGAATGGGCATTTATTCTTGGTTCCTAAAGAGCACTTATTGATGCATGAGTCTAGGGGACGTGTTACTTTAGAGGTCCAGGCACTGCAATAATCTTCCTTCTCCCAGTAGATAACGAGCTGCTTGGAATGTTATCATGCGACCAGACTTTGAGCGGAAAATAACCATTTTAGCACAATTTGGGTTGCTCAGGTTTCTAGACGAGCTATGGTATCGTTTGCAATTGAGTCCTGTCCTGCCAACAATCCGGAGCTTCTGACGAAGGTTCGTCCTATCGGTGGTAGTCAATCAATAAGTTCCTCTAGAAGCTCCGGGACTTCTTGCGTTTCGAGTGGGTTAGATCCGGCAATGGTTCTTGAAACCCAACCTATCGCTTGATAGTTGCGGCTATAAGTTGTTGAGTGAGTTCAGACCTCAAGCCGAATTTTGCCGAATTATTCTGGGAGATGATCTTGTTGGGTGAGCTGCAGCCTCCGCGCGGCGCTGAAGGCAGTGCATCGCTAGCTGGAACATTGAATCTTGGAGTTACGAGCTGTTGCCGCTTCTGGAAAGGCTGCCTTTCGAACCGAGCGACCCCAACCTTGGCATACGGCGCCGATCTATAGGCGATCTTGGCGACGCAGGCCTGGCACGCCTAGCGACTGGGATGAGGTAGATGGCGTAAAGTTGACATGGACATTGCTGACGCGCTATCGAACCAGCGTGAATCTTTCTCGTCTGCATTTACGAGCGATTTGTTGTAAAGCGGTTTCGTGAAGCTCGTGCCAGATAACGTCAGCACTAAACCAATCCTTCGAGAGGGATAACTTGTACGTGCCACACGTTCTAGAGCGTTCAGACCCAAAGTGCCTCCTATGGCTATGGCCGGTGATCAAGTAGATTTAGCCAGTAGCAAGTAAATCCTTCAACCCCAGACAAAACAAGGATGGGATGAAGGAAATATAAAGCCGCCGTTAATGCACTTTGGGGGTTTCTAGTCTGCGAAAAGGTCACCAGAACTATTTGAAACCCCACGCCACCGCCCGGATGAAGTCTCCGAATTTATTTCGTGCTGCCTTCAATCCGTTCGAGGCGCCCAACGACACGGCAGGAAACCTGCAGGGAACTGGATTTCGACCCACAATGATGGGTTCAAGTTGGGCACGCATCAACGACGGCTGGGACGCGGCAGAACTGCTCTTTGAGGAGCAGCACGTCATTCTCGAAATCTTCTGGATCTCGAGCACGTACCTGCGTTTTCTAGTGCCAAGTTGGAGAAAGGTTTCGACGCCGACTCATGCAAAGTATACGGCGCTGCCATGGATTCCTCTCATGATCCATGTCATTCTTGGGACCATCGAGCTGGCCCGATACTACTATCCTCTCGTCATCACCGGTGAACCTCCCGTGCCAAACTTGATCGACCTTGTTCTAGGACTGGCCTTCTCGGCCGGCAGCTTCCATCTGGCTGGGTATGTCCGCGAGGGAAATATTCCCTTCATCAGAGCTACTTTCCAAGCAACGGCCTTGCAGCGAGCGCTCGCTTCCACGTTGGGGTACGTGCATGGTGACGCACAGTGGCACCGAGCGTCTATCAAGCTGCTGAACAACTTCACCTGGGTCCGATGGCTCTCCACGTTCGGGAAGCATCTCCAGGGATTCAGAACGTACGGGGAAACCTTCACGGCTACCGTGGTCATGGCTCACCCGCTTTCTTTGTGGGAGGGAGACTACCCCGCGGGGATTCCTCTCTATGCCTCCATTGTGCTCGCGTTGCTGGCCGTCGACAAGTGGGCATCACGAAAACTAGACGGAAAGTGAGTTGCGCTAGAAGACCGGACGATCCAATACCGCCGTCCGAAAATGTGGTTTTTGGGCTGACCTGAACGTCACAGACCAGGGTTCGTCCCCCGCGTTCTCGCGCATTGCGGACTTGTTACCGTGAAGAAGGGATATTTCGAAACATCGACGTCTGGGGAAAAGCTGGAGTAACTTGGTTGCGCGAACATGAGTGTTGGAGGGTTTGCAGAAGGAAACTTTCTGGGCACGTCACGGATTCCGCGAGAAGTTTTGCTTTCGGCTGCGCACATAACAGATACGCGCCTAGAATCGTCGCGGAACAAGGTGGAACCATGGCTCGCAATTGACACATTGTTTACAGTCACATCAGACTGATTATTTACTGACAGAATTCAACGTTTCAAGTTCTCAGACTCTTGGCTGCTCCTTGTTGAGTAACGTGGTCGTGAAGAGTTTGCAATGAGTATTGGCAAAACAGTCACAAGAGAGCCGCAACCGCAGGAACAATGTGGACTCGGTAAACCTCCGAAGCGCGGATGGATCACCGAATCTCGCATGCAGGTTACGGACCCAATCCCAAGTGCCGCAGCTAGTGGTCATACACCTGCATTGGGCAACGCTCGCCGTGAAAAGGGAGAGCGAAGCCGATCGGCTCGTCGCATTCGTAGCGAGTGCCGTCAGCCACCAGGGTCCGGCCGGTGAGGTGAGGAACACGAGGGCCGTCCTGAGACTTATATGCTTCCAAGATTCCGCACCACACCCAAGCCCCCTTTTCATACATGAGATCTGATCGAAGGGGAGGGAGGAAACGGGCGCGGGCCTTATGCCGCTCTCTTATTGCGCGCCTTCTAGAAGGCACAGTGTGTCTTACTAAGTTACGCCGTGTATTACGCCGTCGTCACTATCCCCGTTCGCGCCGTCTTCTCAAAGGCCGCGAGTCAGCGAGCCGTTCGTGACGTGGGGGTCTTTTCGGTTCGCACATCCACTGATAGTGGCCCTTTTGGTCAACTCTTGGCCTACGTTGGGGCCTTGGCATCGCATGCTGCCGTCTTGGCTGCTGTTGCTTAATTTTCGCCGCATTGCATGGCATCGTTATCAGTGCTGGGCGGATCATCTTCAACGGTTCAACCGTTCAACGACACTTCATTAGAAGCGCCGTGTGTTTGTAGGTGGAACCCTCTTCCCACAATCCATACACCGAACCATCCATTGCATCCGTAGTCTTCTAAGGCCTGCATCTAGGCTCGTACGACGGTACGACCAAGCTTCTTTGGCTTTTTCTGCCCCCCATTAGCCGCCATGTTCCATAGGCCGGTTCCGCAGCCTGCTTGCTGGATGGTGGGAGGGATTTAAGCAGCAAGGCGGGACCTGGGAGGGTCGTCATGAGCGAAGGCGGCGAATAGGTGGAACGACAATTCGTCTGAGCGTCTCCACGGGGCAGGTGTGATGAAGCTATCGCCCTCAAGGAAACGGGACGGGTGTGGCTGGCTCGGTCGACTTCCGTCCTAGCCCTGGCCGAGTCAACCGGGCCACGCACAACGGAGCGTAGTCGGCATTGACGACACAGGAAGGCCCGCCGTCGCCCGTACGAACACTTCGTAGCTCTGGCTCACCTTACGCTGGGCTACTCCGTCCTACTCCATACACTAGATACCCTGTCGAGCCCTCTCCAAGACTCCCCAGGCCCGCCAGGGCCATCTCCCCTCTCCTTCTTTTCTCCATCTTTTGCTCGCAGCCCCTCCACATTGCTGACCCTTACCTCAACGGAGAAGCAAGCTCGTTTGGAGTTTGGATTATGAATCTGCCTTTGCGGTCAGAATCCCGCGGGGTCTCCGCAGACCTTTCCCCACAAGGGACAGTCACATTGAGATGAACGCGGTCCGCTAGATGAAATTCCTTAAGAACGAGGTCGCCTCACCTCTGTGTCGTGTGCCTTTAGTCTGGTTTCTCTATCCCATCCCTCGTCGACTGTCTGTTCTCACTTCCACCGTGCGGACATACTCTCAGGCTGAACCTTCACCCGTCACCTGAAGAATTCGGATCACAGCCGTGCGCACACACAAACACCAGTCCTGATCATGGGTGCGAACTACTTCGGCCAAACGGGCAATGCCCTGAGTGTTATCCAGATCGCTCTTGTCGTCTGCCCGGCCTTCATCCTCTTCGGATACAACCAGGCTGGCCTCGGTGGCCTCCTCACTACTGAGGATTGGGTCAAGACCTTTCCTCAAATCGATACCGTCAACACCACCGGCGAGACCAAGAACGCCAACTCCACTCTCCAGGGTTTCGTCGTTGCTACTTTCACCATTGGTGCCCTCTTTGGCTCTCTTTCATGCTCCTGGTCCGGTAACGCTTTCGGACGACGCAATGTCATCTTCTTCGCCGGTGTCTGCACTCTCATCGGAGAGGTCCTCGAGTGTGCTTCCTTCCACCTTGCACAGCTTATCGTCGGTCGCCTCATCGTCGGTCTCGGAGTCGGTCAGCTCAGTTCCATTGTGCCTGTGTGGCAGAGTGAGACTTCCGGCGCCAAGAACCGTGGTCGCCAGGTCGTCCTGACGGGTCTCTTCACCTGTGTCGGTTACGTCTTGGAGAGCTGGATTAACCTTGGTTTCTGGGAGTTCAAGACTGGCCCCGTCACATGGCGTCCCCCTATCGCCATTGCCATCCTCTTCTCCTTGATGTTGATGGGTAGCATCTACTTCCTTCCCGAGTCGCCCAGATGGCTCGTGATGAAGGCTCGATCCGCCGAGGCCCGTTCTATCATTGCCGCTTTCCGTGGCCTGCCTGAGGACTCCCTTGAAGTCCAGGCTGAGGTTGCTGGTATCGAGCACTCTCTTGAGGAGACTACGCAAAACGCCGCCAAGCTCTCCGACATGCTCAAGATGGGCGATGACAAGCTCGCCTATCGATTCGGACTCTGCATTCTGCTCCAGTTCTACCAGCAGATGTCGGGAAGCAACCTCGTTTCCGTCTACGCTCCCATCCTGTTCCAGCAGAACTTGGGCATGGAGCCCGAGCAGTCCAAGGCCCTCGCTGGAGGTGCCCTGACCTGGAAGTTCCTCTCGTCATTCCTGGCCTTCTTCGCCATTGATCGATTTGGTCGCCGTGCTGTCTTCATCTTCAGCGGTTTCGGAATGGCTGCCTGCATGACCTGCTTGGCCATCACCACATCCTTCCCCAAGGACAACACCGCTGCCCAGATTGCCGCTGGTTGCTTCATCTACCTGTTCAACACCTTCGTGCCTATCGGCTTCCTGGGTGCTAACTTCCTGTACTGCACCGAGATTGCGCCCATCCGTCTCCGCATGGCCATGTCTTCCATCTCCACTGCCAACCACTGGCTCTGGTAAGTCACAACCACAAGTCTCATGTTTCATCATAACTTACTCACGGCTGAACAGGAACTTCATCGTTGTCATGGTCACCCCCGTTGCCCTCAACACGATCGGCTACCAATACTACATTGTCTACGCCGTCATTTCGGCCTGCATTCCCGTTAGCGTCTATTTCCTCTTCCCCGAGACTATGGGCCGCAACTTGGAGGAGATCGAAATGCTGTTCAAGGACTCTCCCTCAGTGTTTGCTACGGTCAAGTTCGCCAAGAACAGGCCTATCGCGATGCCTCAGGAGTTCGAGAGCGACAAGCCATCACAGAAGGCCGACTACGTGGAGAAGCAGACAGATGACTCTGCGTGATGTGAAATGAAATTTATTTTGCGGCTGGGAATATGCGATATGGACACTACGGGAACAGTTCAGCATTAGCAAGCGGAAGTCTTTTTTTAGCGAAATGAATCAATCATCATGATTTGGTATCCGCGAATACCACAACCAACTACTTCTCACCTTTCTATGATTATGCATGAATATGTCCCAGCCTCAAAGGCGATCTCAACAATTATTTGAATCGCCCACTCCATGATCAAATGAGGGATAGTTGAGAGTACTGACAAAATGACGAAGCCAGTCGGCAGTGGCGCAAGAGTGGCGCTCTGATTCCCTTGAACCTTATGTTGTTGTTATTTCCGGGCCCACTCAAAGGCGTTGCCCTCCTCTTGGGTCTTGCCAGTACCTGGAAGCAAGACGGATATAGCTCACCTAGAAACTGACATCACCCCATGAAACTCGCGTGCAGGCGCGTGTTGATCGGGTAATTAGTGCCTTGTATGAAATTCTTTACCCGGAAAAGATGTATGCCTCGGTCTGCTCAATCGATTCGGTTACTATCGTTGGCGTTTACTGTGGCTATACCTATCGTTGATGAGGGAGTGAGCCAGCGAGAGAGACAGTACTGAGCGCTCAAGATGAGAATGAGTATATGACGAATAACTAAACCACGAACGAGGGCTAACCTTAGTCGAATTCCTTCAGAATCAAGGGAGCTGCGGATGAATGAACTCGATTGAGTTTCACGTCAATCTTGTCGCGCCAAGCAAGACCAACCACATCAGCGCATTCATGTGGGAAAGTCAATAGTGCTTATCTATGCATATTAGGTGCCCTTGATCTTGTCAGATTGCAGAGAGGTCAGACGCGTACCTGTCCGGACCGCATCTGATAGTGGCCGCCGACATTTCCCTGGTCTTACTTGCAGCTACACTAAGCCCCAATCTGGCAGGAAACACAGGCTCGGACGTAACATCAACAGGGCTGATATGCTGGGGTAAGACCGCTGTGCCTGTGGGAGTACTATCCTCCAGTTGGCCATGGGACGATCGAGGCCTCTGCCGCGTGTTGGCTGCAGAATATTGATCACCGCGACATCAATTAAGCTTGCAACGGCCGACCTGTCAGCGGCGCGATGCAACAGCAATGCAGCATCTCGTATTCGTCTATGTCTTGGCAGCCTTTGCACCGTTGGGGTGCGATAAGTCGCAAGGCTTCTTATATCGAGCCTCCGCGCTCTCCGAATAGAAGGCAATTCGAGTGTTTGCATGTAGACTTCACTTTTCAGACGTTTGCTTGATCAAATTTACCGGCAAGATGCTTGGCTCAATTCTCAAGACCGTGCTGTCGGCTGCGGCTATCGTATCAGCGTGCACCCCGCCGACAGAACCTCTCTCAAATAACATCACCGAGGGTTTCGGAATTCAGATTCAAAATGCTTCAGTGCCCGTTATTCATAACCGCTACATTAACTTGTGGTCAGCAGGCGGCGGTGACCAGCATCTCTACCTGAGCCCAGCCGGGGACTCGGCTTTCAACTTGACTCTAGTCAACGGCGTGCTGTCGAGGGGCATCATTCACGCCGTCATTAACGGAGAAGTAAGTTGATCTGTCGAAGCGTGGTGTTGCCATTGTATTAACACTTCGTAGTATACCGCAGACGACAACACGACCAAAATGTTCATGACGGAGCGCGGAGATCCCAAGGCCTTCTTCCAGCCGGTTTATGGATGCAACCCGGACACGGATGCTGTCCAAGTCGAATTGGACTTTGTTTCCAGAGCTGCTGTACCAGGTGGCTTCATCTGCTTCAGGAGTGCTTCCGGCGAGAGGCACGAGGCCAGATACTCGCCTCCCGGTAACACCGGTAAGCTTCTTATTTCCCATCCCTCGATCTAGGGTTCTCCTTATACCAAGCCTTTCTCTATGAACTCGGAGCTGACTGAACACCTTACTCCAGTCATCAGAGCAGACCGCCCTTGCTACGAGGTTACCCTGGCCGTGGTTCCTGCCCCGGCAGCTTGAGAAGAAATGCAGGCAAATGTGTCCGTATTACATTAGGAAGAGAACTTTATAATTCGCACAAATGTGCAGTACAATTTATTGATGGCTTTTCGAGTAATTTCAGGATTTCGCCAACCGCAACATCTTGATGTTCAAGTCTTTGACGTCTCCGAACAGAGAATTGCTATTCCATGATTTGATGAGTTCAGCCCAAAGCTTGTCAACCAGAAGTGCATAACATGGAAGGACAAAATCCAACCATTAAGCATTACGACGGCAGGTATTAGTTAAATTAATATTCACGAGTATCAATTCAATGTTGGGGTAAGTACTAATGCACATGGCTTAGTGGTAAACTGGTAAACCGGTGGCGCCTATTACGAGGCTTGACGCACCGTTTACTCACGTGAAACATGCACGCTGAAAGCGCTGCGGAATCCTTGCCGAGGTCCAACTCGTTTGTTTGGTAGCAACCCTTGGACTTCTGAGTAACAACTCATCGCCAACTTCACATTCAATACTCAACAGCAACGCCTGTGCACTTGCTTCTTTTCACCAGGAGCTTTTATTTATCATGAGTCGAGACCAGAATGACGAAAATTTACCGCGGACGGTCGCAGAACTAGAGGCCCTCCCTTGGTGTCGCGCACTCCTCAAAAACCCGGCAGTCATAACTTTCATTCCGCCATCCCGGGTCCCAGAAAACACCAACCCACACGACAGGTTCTTCGGTAAAACACTCAATAACTCAACTGGTATACCGGCTTGCATCAGCTTCCATACCGAGGCCCCTGGTCGATCCGTCATCACCGAACTCTCGTCCTTATTCGCGCTATCAAGAGGGGTTGATGGCTATCCCAACATTGCGCACGGTGGTATGACTGCAGTGCTGATCGACGAGGTCCTTGGTGTCTTGATTCAGAGAAACATGGACACAGAACGCGACGATCCGATCTTCGAGATGAACACAGTGACCTCTTCGATGAACATTAAATACCTCAAGCCCATCAAGACGCCAGGTGTTGTGCTCGGAACTGGGCAAATCAAGGAAATCCGTGGCAAGAAGATCTTGCTTAAAGCTGTTCTTAAAGACTCGGATGGCGTGGAGCTAGTAACTTGCGACTCAATATGGATTGGGATCCCTAGAGTCAAGATGTGACATTTTCTCGCCATGACTGGGAAGGACATGTAAATACACCTGCGCTATGCAAAATTTTGTGCAAAACTTCGGGCTATCTTCATTTCACGGGATTGATTAGAATCTTGGCAGGGCTTCGTATCTCCGGATGAGAAATTCCACACCGTTGCAAGGCATTGCCAGCTTCTTTGAAAGAGTGACATGTTTCAAGATTCCAACTTTTCAGCTTCCTTAGGTACAAAAGTTTTGACTTTCGAACTTGTATAATCGAAATCGCACCGCAAATTTGCGACAATTTAAGCCTTCCAGGCAGTATCCAGGATTTCCTTCACAGTCCAAGCCTTGATGTCAGGGAAAATCTGGTTGAGTGTTTTCTTTCCATCAGGGGGAATGTTGAAGCTCCCATTCTCAAACCAGAGGCCAAACACCGCAGCCATGCCCTGGTATGCCTCTTTGGGGAAGAATGCGTATGCAGGTATTTGGCCGGGAAGTTCTGTCGCCTGGCCAGTCTTCAGTTTCTCAACGCTGTCATACGCAACGTTGAATTTGGTGCCTGTTTACACGGTCAGTTTGCTGGAACCATTTGATGCCTTGAGTTGTGAATCCAGTGAAAAATACCTTTAGCCGCTTCTGCAAGCTTAACAAACTCATTGAAAGTAACCTTGTCACCAACGATGAAAGTGTCTGGCTCCCACTTGTCCAGGTCCAGTGCAGCAGCTACAAACTTGCCCACATCTTTGGTGTGAGTGAAAGCTGAAGGCGTATTTCCCGAGCCAGGAATAGCTGCGGCATTGCCTGGCATATCGATGAAGAGGGTAAAAGGGCTCATATATGAGGGAACAGCAGGTGTCGCCCAGTAGTCAAGGAAGAATCCATTGTGGACGACGGTGTACTCGAGGTCCTTCGTTTCTTTCAAGAGAGCGGCGGCGCGAAGTTTGTTTGGCACAGAGCCCAGTTGGCTACTTTGGCTTTATTGATTGTCATTGTCAGCCCCAGGGTGCAATCATTAAATCCAGGATGTTATCCACGCTCGATATAAACTCACCTCTCCGTATGAGGGACACCCCATCCACTGGAAATCATTCTCTTCGTCGATGCTGATGCATTGGCAGCGCGAATCAGCTCGAACTCAAGGGGTGTTTCTCCTGGTGGCGGCATCATGGTGATGGCTGAAATGACTGTGTGGATATTGTGCTCCTCTAAAAGTTTGGTTGTAGCGCCTACATCAGCGTAGTCAACCACGACGATCGAAGCCCCGAGTGTCTTCTCCAACTCGGGGTTTGCCTAGAGAAATGTATTGGCACCGGCTCTATAACGATCATCTCCTATTATTGCGTCCTACCTTTCTTGCGAGGATCTTGACCTCATGCTTGCCAGTGGCCACAATTGCCTCGACCAAAGTTCGGCCAACGTTTCCGGTGCCTCCGGCAACTGCGATAACTGCCATTCTGCGTGTGGTGCTTTCGAATAAAAGACTAGATAAAATTACTCACGGTAATCAAACGACTGAGTAAAGATAGAGCTGTTCTGTATTTAGTTGCTCTATCAGAGTGATACTGACTGTGGTGGCAGTGGTTCTTATAGAGGCTTCATCAGTTACTCTACGGGCATACAATTACATTACATTCAATACTCCGCTGGTAGTTAGCGGAGTTTGTTGTGGTACATCCGTATCCCCTCATTATCTTGGCGGCGGAAGCAAATAAGGTTTTTGGACTTTGTATCCGTAAAGGCGGATTCAATCGACACAAGTATCAACTTATTATTGACTTCGTGGAATCATTTATTCGTACTCCGTACGGTATCCCTTCCAGATATCTCGGCGACAAATTGCTTCCGTGAAGTCATTAAAGGGCCCATAAGTCTAGTGTGCAGACTCCAAAGTGCCCAAAGCGGTTGTGTCCCCATAAGGAATAGATTATTTGCGGGAAGTTCCCTTTGCGGCGGTTTAACTGAGTCGGACCTGGGCAGCCTCCTTACCTAACCCTCTAGCACGGATGCATTTTACTTCCGGAAATTACGTGACCGGGCCAATCATGAAAATACTTCCTCTTCCTCTCTCTCATCTACAGCGAAAGTTTTCCCAAATTTTGTCCGATTTGATCGCGGAGCCTTATTCGGATTCTCAATCTACTTCTCTTTTGCGGACTGCCGGCTGCAATTCGGAGCCGAGGTGTCATTTGCATATCGCAACGCGTCGCCCGGCCGAGTGGGTCGCTCAGTCCGGACTCAGTCCCGAAACAGCCGTCCGATTCTCAACTGAACCGCCCGGGGTGTTGGCGTTCCGGCATCCCCACACCTCCGCGTACCGGGTGTGGCACACCAACATACATGCTTTGCTATGGACGCCATGGATACTGAGTCCGTCCAGAGTGGACGGACCCAAGACAAAGCTTCTCGCATTGCGAAGGTTTGTGAGACCCTAAGAAATAAGGATATTCAACAACAGTCAATAAATACTTACACGTAGAAACAAAGGCCTGTCTCCGATGCCAATCAAAAAAGATTAAGTGTGATGGAAGAACTCCATCATGTACCCCTTGTATCAATCGCAGTCAGGAGTGCGTGTACCAGCAGGTACAGAGGCGTCGTGGCCCTGGTCGAAGGTACGCTCATTTCATACCCTACTCACTAACATGACTTTTGCCTATATCGATTAAATACCGGAATTAACCTGAATATTGTAGCAAAATGTACATCCAAGCTTTAGAAGAACGACTTTCAAAAATGGAAGCCGTACTCAATCAGGCGGGGCTTCCAAGACCAGGGGCACCGCCGACCAGGATATCGCCTTCAGAAACTGATGCTGCGTCCGTCTCCGTGTTTGCTGGCCCGGCCATACCAAACAGCACAGTCCCGATACCTAGTCACCGACTTGATGCCGCGCAAGCTGCAGCTAGTCATGTTCCGTCAGATCACCCTATGGGTGATGAAGCCGTATCGTCGGCACCTGCTTCAAGAAGTAGCCAGACACCCGTCCCTCAGCCTCGAGAGATCCCCGAACCGCCTTCACAACTTTCGGGGAAGATGCCAGTCTTTGCCGTAATTGCAAGCCGTATGAGAGAGGTCAATTCCGCCTCTTATTGCTCAACATTTAACAGACAAGTTTTCACCCCTCGACTCGAAAGGGAGGAAGCCATCACTATTTTGATGCCTCTCTACGACGACGTAATCAGCAATTATCCGCTTTTGAACTTTCATTACTTTGTCCGCCATTTCGAAACACTACCAGAAGCGGACGATACTTTCAACAGTACGTCAGGATGGGCGTATATGAACGCTGTCATCTCTGTGGGAACGCGGTGGAAGACCATCAACAGCGCTTTCCAGGAAGTCTGTCAACTTGCCTGGCCATTCTTCAAGAATGCATTTTCTGTCCTCACGGAGCTAATGGTGAAGGGTGGCGACATACTCTCAGTACAGGCCATTGTCGCCATGGCGGTTTTCATGCAAGGAACTACATGCACCAGAACGGCGACTCTGCTATCTTCTGCAGCAGTAAGACTGTCTCAAAACATCGGGCTACATCGGCAGCCTTGCACAATGATGTCTATGTGCGCTCAGGATGTTGAAGCACGGAGTCGGGTGTTCTGGGCGGCCTACATACTCGATAAAGAAACGGGCCTCAACCATGGCCTAGATTCGATACAAGACGATGATGACATTGAGACGGAACTGCCTAGTGGTTGGGGAGAGGGTGTTGACATACTGAATCTCAGAGCGAAGCTTGCGATGGTAGAGTCTTCGATCCGCAGACGATTGTACACGGCAAAAGGACTCCGCCTTACCGACGCCGATCTGGTCAAGGCCATCATCGATTTAGATGCTCTTCTTGAGGAATGGAGATCAAGTATGCCCGCAAACCTCCAACCATCGTATGAAGCCCCTGCATTGGGGTCAGACATTGCACCAGATATCCTGAATCTGCAGTTGGCCTTCTATAGGTGCACGATGATGGTGCACTGGGCGGCGAGACGGCATGACCAATACTCGACTGTAGCTGTCCTCATTGGAACGCCCGCTGGTTTCGAAATGCCCTACATCCAGCTGTCCTTTTCGCAGAAACGATGCCGCATGGCAGCGCACGCGACCTTGGGCCTATTTCGGACTATTTCAACGCCGCAATACGCAGACCTATGGTAAGTCACGAAGCAGTCACCCTTTGTCTGAGACACTCAACTCACACTTGCAGGCGAATCTTGTGTTACCCTCTTTGCGCGAGCATCACTCTCTTGACGGATGTGCTCGAGACTCCAGGTTCTGCCCGCGCTCGAGGAGACTTAGCAGCAACGAGAAACTTCGCTCATTTCTTGCAAAAGTTCGAAAAGTCCGAAGGTTGCGACTTGAAGCGTGTATTGACGGCGTGCGCCATGATGCAACGGACGGCGCAATATGCCGTCGACGATGCCCAGAACACAATGCGCGCCCAGAATTTGGTCGGCAACAACGGCGGCGGTGTGTCACTCATACCAGGTTTTAGTCTCAGTGAAGATGCACAGGTGAGACACGAGCTGAAATGCGAGCTTTAAAGCCACGACCACAGACTAATGTTTTTTTCCTTTTGTAACTCAGGTTTTGCAATCATTGCTCGGCACGGCAACACATCCGATGTATCTTGTTCAAGGACTAATGGGAAATTTGCCCAACCGAGACCAGAATCTCACAATGAGGCTTGCGCAACTTCTTGGTACTCCCTTTGAAAGTGGCAAGCCTGGAAGCCCACTCGGATCTCAACCTTTGCAACCGGAGACGTACGGTTTTGGGTTTGGGCAAGGCCAGGCTGGTAATGACCCGACGGCCAACTGGTCTTGATTGAGTATGATAGATTTCGTCTAGCAGGCTGGAGCAGACACATACTACACGGGTTTACCACATTTGACGACCGGTATCATCCGGGCTAGATATGCTCGCTTCCAAATATGAAAGGTGCCTGAGAATTCCCGAGACACTGCCGCACAAGCATCGGGAACTTGAGTTGAGCCAGTCTACCGGCGTTCCGTCAAGCAGAGAACCGAAATCTTAGAAGCGGGTTGAAGCCAAGATGTGGCTAGTATTTTATATATGTGCCGCGCCGCAGACTTGCTTAAGTGTGTGCCCGGTTACGAGCCTGATCTTGGAGGTCAGACTGCTCATGACTTCTGCTCAGTACATGTTCGCATTTCGCTCACGAATTGCGCTTCTTGCACAACTTGCAACGTAAAGCTCTCAGTAGCCACTTGAAAAAAAGCTGCATTTTACGATCATGCATCGCTGCGTTCCAACAGTCATTTGAGGCATCATAAGAAAAAAGATGACCAAGTTGTCTTAATCTCTTAGGTGACCTAAAAGCCAATTGTCTCTGCCAAGTTGGCGCTGCCGTCAGCCGCCGCGGCATCCGGAGTCCGGGGTATAAGGGCCTCTTCCGTTCAATGTGCGGCGTGCCTTATCGTCGACGACACATCATTTCTTCATTATCATACAGGAAGTCTTTCCAAGACGAGCCAGAGCCCCTTGGCACACGATGTTGTCCTATAAGAAGGCGAAGTGGCCACACAATCTCGGCTTCTTGCCGCCTCGGCTTGATTTGTCTTAAGCCTAATCGCAGGGCAAACGCCGCGTCACCTCAGCCTTCTCAGGAGTAAGCAATTCAGCAAGGAGTATCTATCATTCAGATTTATCTCACTGTGCCTGATGTCTCTCACATGTACTTGATCAATATCAGATCAGACTATATCCAACTTGGGCGAACTGGTTCGATAAAGAGGCTGTTCTCCTTTTCTCGCCGTCAAGCGTTTGGTCCAGTTGCGTTACTGTTGGCTCGAACTCTGTACACACACTCTTTAAGTTTACCTGGGATTTTATTGTTCGGCACATTCTTTACCTAACAAGAAGTAATCAAAATGTCAGTCGTAAAGAGTGTGACATCCGGCATTATGGCCTGGGTCAGAACGCCGCGCACCCCGACTTACCGAAAGCTCACCGCCGAAATTGATACTGAGGCTTTGCGATCCCCCAGTTCATATGACAAGCACAGCTTCTCACATAGACTTCAGAGGACGTCTCCTAAGGCTTTGGTCAAGCTTGTTGTCCCCGTTCTTCTTTTCTCTGGACTACTGTTGGCCGTTGTTAGTATCCCTAGGCCTCTCTAGGTGACAGCCCTAACACAATTAGAGTCACACAGATATCACACAATACATACCCGATCCGAACAAAAACGCGTTTTCATCGCTACCGCCGGTGGACAAAGGTGGAAAACGACATCTCAGAATCGTTGTGCCAGCCGATGGTCCATCGCCAGACTTATGCAAGATGCTCATGTCGGGTATTGCATCCGGCTATCCCAGCTCGGTCATTGTGAATTGGGGCCGCGACTTTCAAAAGTCTCCTGGATGGTTCGGAGGCTCTCATCTTGGCAAGATCGATGGCACTCTCGAGTTCCTTGATTCAATCACCTCGTTAGAAGCGCCAGAAGACGAACGCCTTGGGCCAGATGACCTTGTTCTTCTCGTCGACGCCTACGATATCTGGTTCCAGCTCCCACCATCCGTCCTCATTCGACGATACATGGCGCAGAATTACGCTGCAGACGAACGCATTCGAAAGGACTGGGTAGGATCCCGTTCTTGGTTCGCGTCAGAGTCGAAAAGCAGTCTCTTACCGCGGCAGTCTATCATCATCTCGACCCAGAAGAAATGCTGGCCCGATGCCAGTCTTGGCTCTGACCCTCACTGCGATACCCTTCCTGAATCTAGTGCACGGGAGGACATGTATGGGCCTCATACAGACGAAGATCCTAAGCAAATGCATGACCTTCGCCCACGGTATGTCAACAGCGGCAGCCTCATGGGTCCCGTCGGAGATATGAAGCGTATGTTCCGTCGTGCTCAAGAGAAAGTCGATGAAAAACAAGCTGCCGGTGCAGGGATTTCCAGCGACCAGGGTATTTTTGCGGAGATCTTCGGCGAGCAAGAGATCTGGCGGACCTCTAAGCGACAGAACCATGATGAATGGGTGAAACTACAAATTGATCATCCTGAAAAGGCTTCCCAGGAACTTGAGCAGAATGACTTCAGTGTTGGTTTAGATTACATCCAAGATCTTTTCACCCCTACCGTTTTCGAAGAAGACGATGGGCTATACATTGTGTCGTCGGATGGCTCTGGACTCCGACAAGCTGCTGCCGACAGAGGCATTGATCCACCAAGGGTGGTTGGCATCCCAGAAGACATGCTTGGTTTACGCAGTCCTATTCAAGAGACTGCCATCGACAAGACTGTGGGATGGAAAGATCTTCCGCTTTACACCGATTTCTGGAGTACTTCGGTGCCAGTTGTGGTACACCACAATGCCCATCGTAATGGCTTGAAGGGCCAGAGACTGCGCGATTGGTGGAAGAACAACTGGTTCTTTCCTTATCTCCGAAGTCTATTAGAACTGCAATCAAGACCACGCGAGGCCCTGAAGCCGCTGTTCAGAGCCCCGGGTCGCAATGGGGTGGAAGACTTGGTTTACGCAGCACCGGCATCGGATGCTCAGAAGAGGAAGCCTCGCATCTTCAAGAAGCAGGATCTCAAGGAACAAGGGTTGGCAGAAGCCGACTGGGATACTCTGTGTAAGTCTGAGGGTCATGACAAATGGTGGAACGAACTTTTGCAGGACGGTGGTGGACCTCTCTAAATGAAAGAGTCAATGTCTTGTATGATATTACTTTTATTTCAAGTAATTACATTTTCCCCTGCAATTACTTGAACGAATGTGCATAGGTCCGAACCGCAACATCTTGCTTTATCGTTAGGCCCTCATTGTGCTCAGCAATGAATCGATCTGAGGGGCAAGATACATTGGTAAGCAAGGATGCTCTACCATCTTGATTGCTATGCTGTCACCTCTCCATTTCGTTACAGTAATTGAGCCACACCTTCACTCCGGATGATTGACAATACCATGATCTGAGGATTGACTGTTAAGCTGTGGACATCGAGGTACATATGGCGTCCTGACAAATTTAAAACCCGGTAGATGCATTGAGCTGGATTTGGGGAGAGCCATGGTATAATGATATCATTTCTTGCTCCACGGTCTTCAACTTACTTCAGCGTCTGCTGTTATTGACTCCAGCTTCTCATGTCAAATCAATCCCCACGGCGTCAGGAGCGTCCCACTTCCATACCCAATTGACACGAGGGGGAAACACGTCTTGGCTGCATGTGTGTGGCTTTGGACCAGACCCAAAACACAGCCTGCTTCCCCGGGCCCGAGGCCACGAGCCATAGCAGACCGTCAGAGGCCGCGTCAGCTTTCCTATCAACAAAGGAATGGATCGAGAAAGTACCGCCTTTAGTCTGTCACTCTAACTTTGACTCTAATACTAGCGGCTAGCCCCTTCAAAGTCATGACAAGGTTAACTCCATCCACTGGCAGAAACTGTGTCTCGTCGAACCCCTTTTTCATAGTTATTAGAACAAACTTCTTACCATAAACCCTGGATTTCTTTTACGTCCATATAATTCCTCGACTAATTCAGGGCCCACTTTATTAGAAAATGCCTAACAAACACCGTCACGAGGCCTCATGGTCACGGGCCTCGGACCCTTAAAAACATCGTCAACCAGGGTTTTGAAGTGCGGAGAGCCATATCCCCAGAATTTTGAATCCTTATTGATATTCAAGCCCAGTCAGTCCACTAAATCATGGTTCCTGTATGGTTGTGGAACTGAAGACGGATTCGGCGATCAGCAGGGAGGGAACACGAGCTCAGGGTGCTATTTTGAGACGGCCAGGCAGCAGCATTTAGAGCGCTACATTCCCCCGAAGGATTCGACTGCCAAAATGGGGAACGGGCTCGTAGCAACGAATGAGGCAACTGTTTGGCACATGGCTATTGTGCTGGGCAATAGTGTCTCTGCCACGATGCAGTTGGTTCTTATGGATACTACCGAACAACATGGCTGGTAGAGCCTTAACAACGACTTACAGCGATGCATTCGGCGATATGCAACTGACGTGTGGCAGACTACAGATGGCAGGTTCCGTGTTTCATCAAAGGAAGTATCCCACAGCTGCCGTGATTATTGGTCAACGGGGTTGCTATCAGTTGGTTGGGTTCCATGTTATTCGAGCGTTTGTTCCATGTCTATATGAATGCGATCTTCCCAGGCCCTTGAGAATAACTGCCTCATCAACTATCTCATCTAATCACAACATAATACAACACTCGTTTTAGCTGTAATTTAGGCATGAGCAAGAGTGAATTCGGTAAGATATACGATATCAAGGCAGTTTTCAAGACCTACCCAGGCTAATTCGTGCCCTTAGAAACGATGTCGAACGCCCCCGAAGACTTCAGCATCCGATCCCCAGTTCCTCAATACCAAGCAATGCATACTCCCGCATCAACTGCCATTGGCAGCCACGACATCGCCGGGCCCAACGTCAAATACTGTCACGTTGTCCACTGCAACCATGGGGAATCTCTCGGTGAAGGCTCTCGGGCCAACGTCGTGCCTGTTGCCCTCGTTGAGAGATGGCCGGCCTTGATCGAGTGCCCTGCTTGCAAGGGCATTACTCCCACTACAACGGACCATACCATTGGTAAAGGAGCGCAGTACGTCGGCCCCAAGCCATGTCTCTCGCAATAACTTGATGCTCTCGACTGATACCTATGTTTCTGTAGCTGGATGGCGGTCATGCTCTTCTTCACCACCGGTGTTGGTGTATTCGCTCCGTATGCCATGAGGCCTTTCAAAGACGTCGTCCACAGCTGCCAGCGCTGTGGACGCAAGGTAGCGACCCGGCGATTTGGCGGTGGCACCAAGGCACACCTCATGTGAATTGGGAATCTTGACCGGAATCAGGGGACATGTTGTCATCATGTTATATCCTACAACAACTCTTCCCTTTGTTTGGGCACACGGTGTAAATGAGATACGACTGGTTCGTCAAGCACCACCTTACACCTAAGTAAACCTAAGCTTCATTCCATCCCGTTCCAACTATGGACCCTTGTTGTCGTCAGAAACTTAAGCGCTCCAATGAAGGACCGCCTGAGCATCTATCACATGCGGTCTCCTTATCGCGTGATGCAGGGGAGTCGACAACTGCCGCACGGCAGAAGGCAGACGACGTTCTGATTTCGGGTCAGGGTGCATTCACACGTTGCATCCCCATATAAATGAACAGGCGGGGCAGATTCCGTCCGAACACCATGGATAAAGTAGGGTGACTTCAGATGGATGGAGAGTAGCTGATCCTGGTCGGGATTTGTTCAACTTCCTGAAATGGACTATGGGGCACGGCCGTTGCAACCGCGCATGGCATCGTCCCGATGTTCTGCGTGACTGATTGCAGAAGATGTTAAGATAAGTTCGTAGCCTTTGGGCATAAAAAGGTTCGGATGAGAGCAACATCTGGGTACGTGTATTCTCTTCGTCTTAGAGAAGGACATCACGACTTTCATCCTCGGTCTGAGAGATTAAGTCCCAACATCAATACACCGCCAAAATGCGTCGCGCCATTTTTGTTCTACCTCTACTCTTGCTGGCCAATCCAGTATCAGCGGTGACATGGTACTTCCTCCGGTACTACCCCGCGTCAGGTCAGAAGTTCACCTCTTTCTCGGGCGAGATGGTGATCCCATCACTACCGCGCGCGGGCGTTTACTACCTCTGGCCAGGCTTGCAGCCAACCGATAACTCTGGCGTGTATCAAAACGTTCTCGATGGCCGGAGCGGAACATGGTGGCTCGGCTCCGGGTGGTGCTGCTCCAACCCGAGTCTCCCTTGGGGTGGCGGCTTCAACACGTACGGCGGGGAGACGATTTCGTTCCAGAACACCCTGAAATCGGATAATTCGGCGTGGACCAGCACTGTGACGAGGCAAACTGGAGGTCAGGTTGTCACCAATGACTTCGCCTTGGGTAAGTCGCCATTGGATGATGGGTGGGTCGCGTGGGACTGACTTGATCTGTCTACTTCAGCCGACAAGTCATTCAATCAAGTGCTCTTTGCCATTGAGTTGTAAGCTTCACCCAATGTCAAACAACGGATTATCGACTAATGTCTTTTAGGTACGACGTCTCATGGGACTTTGGTCCACTAGCATTCAACAATGTTGTAATTGTATGCCCAACTACATCCCAGTGTCAATCAGGGAACGTAGCTGACAACTTTCAGACCTCCACTGGCAGTTCAGATTCAAGTTGGTGCACTAGCTTGCCGCAAAATTACAACTCGGCGACCAACTATACTATCACCGGCACAAGTGCAAGTGTGAGCGGCGACACAGTCACTTGCAGTATTCAGTCAGTTGTTCTCGACGCACCGGCGTGAGAGACAAGCCTAGCTATTGCGATCATGATTGGTATTATTATGTTATTCTAAGAGGGACGATCCTCTGCGCTCCACATAAGGGGATGTCAAGAAAAACCAGCTCAACGCTACATATCAGCCCGCAAGCTCATCCATCTCTTTCTCTCTCATATCTGTCTTAGTCATGAATAGACGTCAATCAACGAGTGCATGTGAATCAAAGGATTGATTTAACGGAAGGCCCGCCCCAGCTCTCATCATTGCGTGCCCAACAGAAGCGGTAAATGCCCAGTGAGACAAGCAGCGATGAAGCAGCTTAGGGGGCGGGAACCTGGGAGGGGTTCCACCAAGGATAGAAGCGCTCGCCCTCGGCCAACGACTTGAGAGTACACGCGGAACCCTCGCAGCCGGCGCCGATCTGAGAGGTGCCCCACCAGTTAACCTCGGCACCAAGCCACTGCACAGTGAAGAGCATGAGAATACCCGAAAGGGCAATGCCAGCGGAGAAAGAGGCCGACAGGACAAAGTTGTACTTGGACCAGAAGGCGAGGTAACGGCTTCGGACGTAGATCCAGGACAGCCAGGCGATAGGGACGGCGGGCCAGGCGTACGAGAAGCTGTACGGAGCCCAGTTGATGCCTCCGTAGAAGAGAGCAACGGGGTGGAACTGGCGGAGGTAGCGGTTCTTAGGGTAGAATTTGATCAGGTAGTAGAACAGGACCGGGAGAATGATGCCCAAGGGGAACCCGAGTAGGAGGTAGTTGTACTGTCCCTGGTGACCAAAGACCTTGATGGGTCCAATGGTACCCCAGAGCACGGCAGCGGTGAAGAAGGTGTTGGGACCGGGGCAGAAGAAGCGCATGGGCGCGTCGGGAGTGCAGACGTTGGGGATATTGATCTGGAAGTTCATGACACCGGTGCAGACGAACGTGGAGATGAGAGTGGCAACCATCTGACAAGCAAAGGTCTGACGGGGAGGGATCTTAAGGTAGTGAGCCACCTTCAAGTCGTTGGCGAAGTGAACGGCATGGGCGCACGTCACGTAACTATTTAGATACCATTAGAACCGGGCGTAATCATAAGGAGCGAGAGAGTTTTTATGCATACCCAAAAGACTTGAAGAAGTTCATGGCTAGAGCATTGCCCTGAACCCACATACCACCGATGAACTCAGCCAGGACATTGAGGGTGACCTCAATACCTGTCATGGCCTTGATGATTCCGATGGGAATGACGAAGATAACAGCCAAGAAGATACCGTAGGGAACAACGCCTGGCGTGGTGTAGGTAGGCCACGCAGCAACACCTGCAAAACCGAAGCCCGCAGCGACGATAAGCGTGCCAAGGTACCACCACTCGGAAACTAGAGAGAGTCAGTGTTTGTCGAATCTCATTGCTGTAGAAAACACTCACCTTCGGGGTACGAAGCCATGAGACGGTTGTGGACGTCCTTGTACTCGCCAGAGTCCTCGCCCTCGGCGACAGTCTTCTTCTGGCGGCGGATGCTCGCCCACATATTCTTGAAACCCATGACGATCTCGTAGCGGTGGAAAATCGCAACGTGCGTGACAGCAGCAGCGTACAGGGCAAAGAATGCGCCATAGACCAAGGTGTTGGCAGCTGCAAGGTAAGCAGCTGAGTAGTTCATGTACTTTTCGTGGTCGTACATGCCACGGTCATCGAGGGCGCGAGAGACATTGTAGAGGTTTCCAAAATGATCAAAGACACGGTTCGAGTTGATCGGGAGGTAGGCAGTGTTCCAAGCGTTTGTGTAGTAGAGACCCATAATCACGAACCCGAGCAGCCACATGCCGAGGGTACGGTTGAAAGTGGAAAAGGCAGGAACCATCTATTCAAGATCAGAAAAGCCCCGAATAAGACGCCAAGAGAGTACAAGATAGCACTTACCAAGGGGTCGACACTGTCGAAAAGCCTGTGCAGAGGGAATCAAGTCAGCGAGAAGTCCATTTGGGTAAGAGTGGTGCATGATGAGCCGAGAACAGTCTACTCACATGACGTTCCAGTCAAAGGTAGGCCAGGGGTTGAACATTCCCAAGCCGTTGCGGAAACCTGTCAATATCTCCAAGTTGTGGTTTTCGGGCGAAATCCACGTCATCCAGCTGAAGAAGGTGAGGACTTCAAAGATGTAGTTGGGGAACCAGAAGTACACAAACATTGCGGCAAAGGACCACAGAAAGAACTTGTATCGAGTCATCGAGTACAGTCTCTTGAACGGTCCCGGGACCGCAATGTTGCTTTCGTTGTGGAGCGCCGAGTTGAGGGCGATGGTGACGAGAGACGCCGGCCACACACAGTACGAAGGGTACACGATGAACCGACGGGTGAGGCCTACTCCACTGTTAGCATCAAATTTCCCTCATAAGTACGCCGTTGCATCACTCACCAGCGAGGCCATAGCCAATGAAGTTGGTAGAGAGCGCAATCAGGATCTGGTAGGCAAAGCTCTTGGCGTACGGCTGGTTGAAGTACTGGGGCAAGACCTGGGTCCAGACAATGTACTGGGTATACGGCAGACTCTTGGCAGTGTTGGCCATAATGGCAATGAGCATGTGCTCCTTCTTGTTGAACCGGCCTGGGTTGAGGGGGATCTTGTAACCAAAAACGTTGAAAATAGTGTTGGGCATGAACTTCTCCCATGCCTTACCGAGGGGGAATGCGAGAAGTTGGGCAACGTTGGATTCGATACTGATGAGGGGCTGACGGATACTGAATAGCTGATGCTAACGTTAGCATTATGGTGCGGACTGGCGGAGCTACAACTTACCTGGTTGATGAAAGCCAAGAAGACCGAGAAGAAGACGCCAATGGTCCACGCTCGGATCGTTCCACATGGAAGGGAAGGGTCGTCCTTGTTGTCAACGACGGCTCGCACCTCAGCATAGGGGCTGTTATTGGTGATCAAAGCAGCCTCGAGCTTCATCTCCCAAATCAGTTGCTCGTGCTTCTCGGGCCTCTCGAAAACATCCTGGTTGTCTACTGCCGCGTCAGCCCCACTGTCGCCGGAAGTCATCATCGTTGTATGTGCGTTACTCACCAAGAAATTCATGGATTTTCATGAGAACACTGTGAGGAAAATTCGGGTCTCGGTTGTGGATTCTCAGAACCGTCTCCATCATCTGCGTCCTGTGTCAATGGCATCTTCGTGCTATCTAGGTGACCATTGAGCATACCTTGCGCACTCCCTCCAAGGAAAGGGTGGCAGCAACGGCCTTGGCCTCGATGAGATCATCTTCTGTGACATTGAGATGCCTTGAGAAGTCGTCAGCTCTAGCTAGCTACGTGGATGATCAAGGCCTTTGGTGAGAAACTCACGATTCAAAAGCTTCTTCCTCGGAGTTGAGTCGGTGGAGCTCCTCGGTATGTGCGCCCTTTACAAGCTGATCAGTTCAATCCATACTACTGGTTACCATTGGCACCTACAGCAGCAAGTTTCTCGTCCGTCAAGACGCCCTGGTCCCTCCCAGTGTCAATGGGAGAGACTGGCGAGTCGTTCTTCTCGTCGTTCGCCATCACGCTTTGGGCGACTGTGAAGTTGGACCTGGGTGTAGTGTAAGAGGCCACGACGCGAAACCCAGACCCGGTAGCGTGGGACACGGCGATAAATAAACATTTTCGAAAAGACTGAAGACGGCCAGGTCGCTTATCAGCGGTACCACATAGTCGGCGCCCAGATGCCAACCGGGTACCTCACGCATGATGGGCTGCCATATTTGGATGATGCGAACAGGTCGGCAGGTGGCAAGGTAACCAAGATGATTTTCGGAGGCAGTCCCAGTCTAGGCCGGCTGGGCAACATCTTGGCTGTCTGGTCGAAAGGATCGACCTTCTCGGTCAGGCAGAGAACCGATGAGATGGGGTGGACAGCAGATATGCAAGAGAACGAGGATTGGTCCGTACAACTAGGCCACTGGCCTCCAGTCGCGAAGACGGCGACCCCAAAGTCTGGGCGCGCGATGCCACCAGGCCAAGAGGCAGGGAAAGCATTTGGGTTGCCAGACGATGGCCCAACTGATGGTTCCTTTTGATAGAACAGAGGGACAGGGAAGGGTGGTCGCAGAAGAAGCAGGGTCTTGGACGAGATCCTTGCACAGTACAGTCGGATACGTGGGGGAGGGTGAAAATTGGTAGGTTAACGACAAGGCTGGTAGCACGCGCTTGTTGCTTGCCACGTTCTGTGCACACAGGGAAAGATGCGGGTCTGACTGTGCTCTTACCGTACTGTCTATCCAGGAAGTAGGAAGTAAGTGTGACCAGTGGGACTGAGGCGGACTTTGTTGCACGATCCAAGAGTCTTCTCAGAGAGAGTTTTTAGTATGCAAGAGTACCAACAACTCCATCTGTCATGATCTGCCTCCGGCATCAACATTGGGGATCAAGGGACTATAATGACAAATCACGGTGACGGTGAGTAAAAGTCTGCTATGCCGTTTTATATAGAAAAGAATGAGTCCATTCTCAACAGCCTGGTTCGCCTAGCAGAGGCAGGAGGAGGTTGACTTGGACGCCCAGTCGATCGCACTATCTTTCCGTGCCGCGTTCCAAGTGCCCCTTACGTTGAATTTTGTAGAGAGGGAGGCCTTGAGGAGTTTGATGGTCTCAGAGGAGCGTGGAAGAGTTCAAAGTATGAGAGACGGTAGGGGCCCCAAGTGTTCAAACGGAACAGGGGTTCAGCCACAAGGCGCAGAGAAGTGGTAAGCTCGAAGGGCTGCATGATTGAAATGAGTTAAATGCAGTTTTGCCCAGCTTTACAAAAGGCCGGGGGGTACTTTTGTCCTTCTTGTTCTTGGGCAAGCATATAAGCCGGAAAGACATCCATAGGTTGAACGGAAACGGAAGAGAGCACGATGAGAAGAGGGAAAAAGGGACGAAAAGAAGCCCCCTCAAAATGAGAGGAGCACTGGGAATTGTCACGTGTGGCTGTGTGGGGGAAATTAAGGTTAAATTGGCACTAGCACAGACCACCTACGTACCGATCCGGCTCTTTGCTGTGGCGTTTTGCACTTCTTGTGGCTAGTGAGATCTACGTACCGATTGGTGACAGCTGCTGGAGCTCTCCTACCGTACTCGATTGAGTGAAGATGACTTTTCCCAGCTGCACCTCCATTTTCACTTCACTGTTCTTCTCCGTCAAAATTCACCACCTGCGATAACACGACCAAACTGTCGGAATTCCGTCTTGATGCGAGGCCTATCCGCTGACGACGCTAATCACACGATTCTCCTCTTCCCAGCAACTCCCAATAAGGCGCCATGTCGGGAACTTTTGTCAGTCACTCACGAGCTTACTTTATTTAGGAAGGCCTTCCTCGCATCGCAATGGCTGCGAAGGGCGGGGAACAAACATTTCGCGGCAGGCCAATGCCGTCTTCATGGGAGGCAAGCCGCAAAAGGGTCTCGTTCTCGGTGGTTTTGCTTCTAGCGGCCGTTGGTGAACCCCTGCTTCATACCCTGTCTCTCACAATCCTGGACACTCCTTGTCGGCAGTGCCCAGATCTCGCTCGGGACCAGTCGAATCATCTCGCTGCGCGCAAGTTATCCAGCCGTACCTTCAACGTCCCATTCAGGCAGGAGGATAACACCCGCTCTATATAAGAACGGCACCATCACTCTCTTGGCTTTTCTTGGTTTCTCTTGGAATTTGCTTGGAATAAAGCCGCCGTCTGCGATTAATCCTCTGCAATCCTCGCTATCAACCATTCTCTTCGTCCTTGGCTCCTTGGCACATTCTGCTATCATTCTCCTCTTCGCCAGAAACTCTCCTCCGCGCGATACCCCTCACGAGTCACGAGCCGTGCAGATGCTCCCTCTTCCCACCCACCTCAAAGTCAAACAACACCAGAGACTGAGCTCAGCGCCAACGGGAACAGGCACCAACTTGCGCCTCACAATGGCATCGATCAACATCTCGGATGGCTGACGTCTCCCGTCTTGTCCTGCTGCAAATGGCGTTCGTTAGCTTCGCAGCAGAAAAAGGAAGGTCTCGTAGAAGATTTAGAGGAGGGAGGCGAGTTCAGCTGAATCCCGATGGACGGCTGTCGACCGCGGTTGTTGTATTATTCGTCAATCACCCCGGGCTTATCGCAATCTCTCGCCAAGCATTCAAGGCCCCCGGTGCTCCAGACTGAGCGGGTTTCTCTCTGTTGGAGTCGTCGTATCCCGGTTCGCAATCGCCATAGTGCGACCCAACCCCCAATGGCAACGAATCTGCGGTACGGTTGCTGCAGCTGGTCTCAGCGCCCCCTCCAGCTCTTCCACGAGCTTTCCTACCTCAAATGGCTCCATGCAGTCCAATCCTGGCGTCGACATTGTCAGAAGGCGTGCGACAACTTCGAGAGTGTCGCCCCATATCCCGCGTACTTGTCCTCCGGTTGAAGACGAATACTCTTGGATTCTGCATCAGAGACCTTGAAGATTACGAAAGGATGCTTATTCTCCCGTGGTGGACGGAGCCAATCCCCTCGATTTGGCATTTGCCCACCATCATCACGCTTTTCATGTGGATCATCTCTTCTTAGACGGAAACATTGGAATAGTCTTGCGAGACGCAAGAAGACAGGCTTGTACCAGCCGGCATATGTTACGTCTTGATACCAATGATGGTATCGCCACATGGATTTTCAATCACAACGTTACGCGAGACGAAACGGCAATGATGGTATTGGCTCCCGTTGCGTCTATACACAATGTCGTCGCTCGAGTAGTCTCGTCTATTCTTACCGTCAGATCGTCTTGCGAACTGGCCAATCCGAACGACCTCCCTACACGAGAGCCGGAGCAGACTTCCTGTTCCAGCAGTCGTGGGATTCTAGTCCAAAGGCCGCATCACGCAGACATTCAGCTGCGCCGCAGGTGCAGCGGTGTGCGTTCAATTGTCTCAGCCAACGCTCTTCTCTTTGGACCTCGGTATCGTACAGCTGTACAGAGTCATTGCAGTCTGGTAGTGACATAGCCGAGATCTACTAACATGTGTTCTTGAGACAGTTAACAAGATAACGCCGTCGCTCGATACGCTCTGCAGAATCTTGCCATTTGAAAGGCACCACCAAACTGATGCGTACGCCAGCCAGGATGATGAAATCTCCATCGATCGAGAGGGCTATAGAGACAAAGTCGTTGTCAACATTCGTGTGGCCTCTTGCTCATGTATAGCTGCAACGTGTTTGTGGCATACGAGAGCTTGATGAATGACACATGCCGCTTGGCTCAGATCAGGCCCATGGCGTCAGAGTTGCAGGGCGAGTCTTGTCGGCGTGTATCAGGAGACTATCACTATCTCATTTGAATATTTACCAGCAAAACATGGTGAATCCAGAAAAACAGACCCGGCTGGTTGGTACGATTATGGCATTGCAGAGACAGACGCACATGACATCCACGTCCCTCCGAGCCCCCCAGTCTCTTGCCTTCTTCGACCCTGATGTACTGCGCCACTCTTGGATCGGCTCAGTTTACCGATGAGAAGAGTGTATTCAGAGCCAAACAAGTAGGTGAAGGGGTGGCAAGTAAGGCAGCTGGATCGGTTCTAGAACAGCTTGATCAAGGCCGGGGTTGTTGAACCCAAAATTGGCAAAACCGAAGCAACCCGATGATGTTTGACGCAATTCGACCGGCTAACACAATGCTCCAATGCTTCATGCGCCGAGACTGTGGCAAGTTCGTCTTCGCCGCCGACTTCCACGCAGACATGCATGCTTCAGCCTGCAGTTCGCTCCCCTTCCTAGCCAAGACGAAGTTGGATCGGTTACCCCAGTGGGTGTGCGAATGTCACTGTCATTGCATGCGAGTCGTATCGTTGCTCTCGGAGATCCGCGAGGTTGGAACATCTCTGGCGTTCGCCGTCAAGGATTCGAGACCTCCCCTCTGTTTCTTATCATAGACGGGATTGACGCAGCATCACACAGGGCGGGATATGATATCAGATGCACCGTGTTGAGTATGATTTTCTAGTCTCTTGCCTCCCATCTACTCTCAATATAGTCACTTTACGTCTATGGCTGGGTGATAATGCCATTCCCTCTAGCACCACATTGTCTTCTATCGTCTTACTTTTGTCCCAAATCCTTCCGATTTCCGATGATTCTTTCCAAGATAAGGAACACACCAGCCATATCGGTGGTTGGTTATCCCTTACGTTCTCACTGACGTGGAAGTCGAAATTGTGTAAGTTCATATCGATTAGTATCTCAATAGACAGCAGGAGATTATTCATTTACTCGGGTACTACTATTCACTCCTCAGAGTCTTCCTCGACCATCTGGTACTCCATTCTCAACTTCTGTCAGAGACTATGGGATCACCGTTTACGGTCTTTCGGTTCCATCTCACTTCACGCTTGAAATCGCCTGATTGTATATACATGGGTTGGTTGAGCAAATCATCCAACGAAATCCAATAAGACGCAATCCCCCATCAACTCAGATGGACAATAATGATATACTGAATGCTATCAGATGGCATCTAGTCGCATATTGGTGTTGAGAATTGGCTGTCTCAGCTGATTCTGTATTGAA